CATGAAATGCAGCTGCATGAAAGCTGGCATGTCATGTATATCTGCAACTGAGTACTATTAATTTGTATTGTGTTGCCAATAGTTACTGTAAGTTCTAAGTTGTGAGTAGTATTCTGCAAATGGTTTATTATAAATGCACATATACTTTACATACACAAACTAATTGACACCAATGAACTTTAACCGCCCCCCCCCCCCCCACACTCTGCTCATTTTGACCTTTTACTTCGTATTTTGGTGGTGAAGAATCCATTTCATATTTCTTTTATCTCCCACTATAATTTTGTGCATTTTGACACCAAGATCATCGAGGCCTATGTAAAAGATGCCATTGCTGAAACACAAATTCTAGTGTTTTAGGCAGGGTCAATGACCTTTGACCCTCATAAAGGAAATTTCTCCCTCCTCCTCTCTTTTTGAAATAAATAATAAACTCCATTCGCGTCAGTTGAAATTAGCCTCTTCGATTCGTTTGTGCTCATTTGTACATAATATCGTTATTTTCCTGTTACTAATAGGACATTTTAGTGATAAAACGTATATTTTTTACCTTTAACCTCATTTTTGAAGGTCAGGGTTTTATTCTAAGGATCAGTAGTTATTCTATGTCATCTTCTTCCGTAATCTTGTGCATTTTGACACCAAGATCATCTTTATACCTTATTTTGTTGCTGAGATGCAATGTATAGTGTTTTAGTGCAAGGTCAATGACCTTTGACCCTCATAAAGAAAATTTACCCCTACCCCTCTGTTCTTGGAATAAATTATAACCCTCATACCCCCATATCTGCCAAAAATAAGTTGAAATTAGCCTCTTTGATTTGTTTGTGCTCATTTTAATATGATATGCTAATTTTACTGTTATAAATATGACATTTTAGAGATAAAATAGTTTTTTGACCTTTGACCTCATTTTTGGAGGTCAAGATTTAATTCTAAGGGTCAGTAGTTATTCTTTGTCATCTTCTTTTGTAATCCTGTGCATTTTGACACCAAGATCATCTATATACCATATTTCGTTGCTGAAATACAATTTTTAGTGATTTAGGCAGAGGTCATTGACCTTTGACCTTTAATAAAAATTCTCCCCAACCCCCATCCCTCCTTCCTTTATTTTGGTAGTTGTCCATACCCATATCTACCCAAATCAGTTGGAATTAGCTTCTTTTAAATTTTTTCACAGATTGGCTCAATATGTGGCTAATTTAGGGTTACTAACTTGTAAATTTCATGTTTTTTTGTACCGGTATGTACATGTATTAATTGTAACTCAGTCAGGTATGAAAGGTGGACTGGTTGAAGTAGGGCCTTTGTTGAATCCTGTTATATCTTTGAATGTGACCTTTGATATGTCACATTTTTAAGAAACAAAAATCAGGACAAAACAATTTTTCACGTAATTAATAAGTTACAAAACAAAAACATGAAATTTACAAGGGGTATGAAGACTTTAGTTGCTAACTGTACTTGTGAAATGTTATATCTGCACTAAGGATGTACAGGGTATAACTCCGTAATCTTCAGTCAACTTTGTATGAACTTTTGCAAGTCATGTCCATTTTGGGAGTGAATTGTCAGATTCCGCGGTCTAGGATTGTCATTTAAAATAGGAGACATGTGTCAGTTTTAGACAGTTCTTCGCCGCTCGTTACTCTGCTCGTAATCAGTTAATCAGCAAACAGGATTTGGACGCTAATTGATGGTTTTTGAAATAATTATACAGCCACAGTTCTGTTCAAAACGGGTGTGATCCCTCGTCTTATAACCCGATTGCATGCATGGTGATGTAAAAATAGATCTGCACATATGCCAGACTGCCTGCCGCACAAAAGAAATTGAAATAGGAATAACGCTTAATCCGTTCGCTCTCTCCGTTTACGATCCACCACCTTGCACGTATTTGACTGTAATTATCGGTTCGTAAATAGTCGCTGACTCACTGACGTAAGATTTTTCACGTGAGACTCATTACTACTAATAGAGTGTATGTGTGTGTGTGGGGGGGGGGGAGAGCTAGAGTGAGAGAGAGTACGCTTTGTGTGGTATAACCCTATACAAAGGGTCAGTTTTAATCCTAAAATAATCAATATTCAGTATCACTTGAAGCAAGTAATATGATATTTAATCAAGCGAACAAGTTTAAGCACTAACTAGGTACTTGTGCTTTCTTATGCATTGCATTGTTCATTATTTCAGTACTGCTTTTAGATAAGCAAGATTTACAATCTTTGATAAAGCGCTCAACAAGTTTATAAGTAGGTACCTGTGTTTTCTTTTGCATTGCATTGTTCATTTACAATCTTTGATAAAGCGCTCAACAAGTTTATAAGTAGTTACTTGTGCTTTCTTTTTCATTGTAGCAACTATAGTCTAAAAGACTTTTTTTTAATCATAAGAAATGAAATGTAAGTGGCTCAGATGTTTCCTTTGTTATCATGTTCTTATATAACCATGCTCTTGTTTTAATAATAACAATATTTGTTTCTTGTATAGCATATACATTTCACATTATAACGTCTCTATGCACTTCCAAAGAGCTTTGGAAATTATTAGTTTTTAGTGTTTCAAGGGTTTCAAGTGTGTATTATGTATTTCAATATATAACGCCCTGATTGGAAATGCAAAGTGAAACAGTTTATACCATCATAAAAAACAACATCTTTCCTCATTACTTCACCTTGTCATTCTAACGTTCCGGGTACAATACCAATTAGACATCAAATACAAATTTAAAAACTAGCAGAAACTTTGTTCATTGTTCATAATTTGAGTACCGCTTTAATCAAGATTTACAATCTTTGATAAAGCACTCAACAAGTTTATAAGTAGGTGCTTGTGCTTTTGTTTGCATTGTAGAAACTAGTACTGGATTTTTTGTTTAAATCATAAGTAATGAAATGAAAGTGGCTCAGATGTATTCTTCTTTATCATGATCATATCATGCTCTTGTTTTGAGGGTTTTGATGGTTTAAATTAACAAAAGGGTGAAGTGTGTATTATGTGTTTCAATATATATATATATATATATATGCCAACACCCTGATTTGAAATGCAAAGTGAGACATTTTATACTACCGGTATCATTAAAAAATTCTCTTTTCTCTTCATTACGACATTTTATCATTCTAATTTTCCTGGCACCATACCAATTAGACATCAAATGAAAAAAAAGATTAGCAGAAACTTGGAATATATAATTAAGCTGCGGCAATAATAGGCTTCCCCCTATACTTTGGCTTGTTCTACCCCCTACTTTGGCCTGTTCTACCCATAATCATAATCAATTAGATTTTCCATAAAGATTGTCATATTGATTTGGAATCCTATATTCTTATATATTTGGCCTGTTGTTCACCTGTATTGTAGTTTAAGTGCTTCATGTTCTTTTGTTATTTTACAATTTCATTATTATGTCATTTGTTATGTACCTTTTGTATTTTAACTGTATTGCATATGATTTTGATCCTAATGATCTGTGGGTATATCTCTGTTCAGTTATTCTCATCTCTTGTAATTGGTAAAGTTTACGTTTTCAAAAGCAATTTGTATCTGCTTAATGAAAAGGAACCATATAATTTGTTTGTATTATTAGTATTTTTTAATTATTATTAAGTCGCAGGCAGAGCTAGATCTGTCCAGACATATAATTTCATTTATAAATACAACTTCCAAGTGATAATGTTTCTTACTCTGTTTATTTTGAGAGCAAATTCAGGCAGAGCTTAAAGGTAATACAAAGTTTTGGTATGGGGTCATGAATTTGGTTCAAATGAACATATTGGAAGCATATGCGACCCTACAATATTCAGTGATCATTGTCGCTGTTGAAATCGAGTCAAGTTATGAAATTGTTAATAATAAACTCTGTATGTTGTATAGCTCCCTCTCAAGGTCAAGATATTAATTAAGCTATAAAACAGTGTTTCTTGACTAAAATCGACCTATTAGCTATTCCCGTTTGGAAATTATATATCACAACTACATATTCTGAGATTTTCATGGTCGCAGCTACCATTGTACGGCCGTAGGCGCTGTTTGAAATATATTAACATTTACCGGGAGCACCGGTAAATTTGTATATTTCTCGAAAGGCGAAGTGTTTTAGGGGCTAAATTTTCTAGTGCTTATAATACATCCACAGGGGCATCCAAATATATCAAAATTGTAGAGAATCACTATCCACCAAATTTTCATGATTTCCCAAAACTTTGTATTACCTTTAAGCTTGACATAATTATATACTTGTATCAGAGGCATGTTCAGACATACATGGATGCAACATAAAGTCTGTTAATTACAAGTAATAATGTTTCCTATTCTGTTTGTTTTGTGCAGCTAAACAAGAGCAAATCCAGGCAGAGCTAGAGCTAATTGATATACATGATCAGAGGCATGTTCAGACATACATAGATGCAACATAGCATATTTATTAATTTCATGTGATAATGTTTCCCATATTCTGTTCATTTTGTGCAGCTGAACGAGAACAAATTCAGGCGGAGCTACATGAAGAGCTTGTAATACATGTATCAGAGTCATGTTCAGACATACATGGATGCAACATAGCATATTCAGTAATTTCATGTGATAATGTTTCCCATATTCTGTTCATTTTGTGCAGCTGAACGAGAACAAATTCAGGCGGAGCTACATGAAGAGCTTGTAATACGTGAATCAGAGTCATGTTCAGACATACATGGATGCAACATAGTCATAGAATATTCATTAATTACAAGTGATAATGTTTCCCATATTCTGTTTATTTTGTGCAGCTGAACGAAGCAAACTCAGGCGGAGCTACATGTAATAATTATAATTATATTCAGCTTTTATATAGTGCTTAATACATCTCGGACGTCTCTGAGCGCTTTACATATATACTATTACCCCAAGCTTGCATAACATGTATTAGAGGCATGTTCAGACATATATTGATGTATTACATAGAATATTCATTCATTACAAATCTGAACATTTCCTTTTCTGTTTATTTTGTGCAGCTGAACGAGAGCAGCTCCAGGCAGAGCTTGAGCTGGACTTACTGGAGGCATGTTCAGACATACGCAAGCTAGAGTTTCTACTCAAAAAGCTGGGTTTCAGTGCGATCAACAAAAACTACAAGGAAACTCCTCTTTTCAAGTAAGCTTTCATTTCCTACCATTATGGATTTCAAATCATCGGTATATAGTCATGAAAATGAGTTTCATGTGTTAACAAGATTGATGATTATGAGTACAATTATCAAGCGACATATATACATCATGATTATATGATAATTAGTAAAAGCAGGTTCTTGAGTTTCTGGGGAGTGTTTCACAAAGACTAAGATCGACTTTAAGTTAGACTTTAACTCATATCCTGCCATGAGACTGCTAGCGTGCTATTGTTATAGTGCTCTGTGCACGCGAGCGCGCTATCGATTGACTGCCACGTTCATGCTAGCGAGCCACCGCTACTCTGCTTTGTGCACGCAAGGGCGCATATGTAATAACAGTCATTGTTCATGCCCATTGCACCGTGTTGAGTGCTTTTGAAGCGCTATTGAAAGTACCATCGCGTGCATCAGATTATCGGCTTTGGATTACGCGTCTTTGTATACAACAGTCAGATTGGATTTTCTCAATTAATTCAGCAATTTGTTTTTTTGTAAAGATTTAAATAACACGCACTTGAACCAACCTTAAAATTAACTTGGCACACAGGAGATTTGTGGCTGGCACAATAGGGACTAGCACTGTGGCACTGGGTGCATTGTATCGGTGGCAGCTTAAGAGTTAATAACTATGGCAGACTGTTCGTGCCACTAGTTCCTCTAACCATTCCTGCCATTGGTTTCTCAATGGACGTATAAGTCATGGTCACAAATCTACAGAATTAGAACATTCCTTGATAGTTCTCGAAGGAAAAAATATTATCTAAAGATCATAATTGAGAGACCAACGGCTGAGAGCAACCAGTTGCATGAATGGCCTGCAATAGTTAAGTCCAACTTAAAGTCGGTCTTTATTCTCTGGAAACACTCCCCTGGTGTTATGCACATAAATCATTGCATAGACGCAGTGATCTCAAATTTCAAACATTCATAACTTTCTTATTATTGGTCTGGTTATTGGTGAAACTTTCGCCATTCAGTTCTGTGTATAGGGTTGAGTTGCCCTTTTATGAACCTCTTTATACTTTGTGATCGTTTATTGGGTGTTTACAGGTAGATTGACATACATGCTGAATATACCTGAATTTAAAATGTAATGCTATTAATTTCACACGTATTCTGATGTCATTGTAATAATTTTATTTTTATTTTTTATTGAATGCTAGCAATGAGGATATGATGGGTATGTATTGTTAATGTCAGTATTAGATGGTAATCTGATTTTTCTTTCTCTCTCTCCAATTTCTACCTGATCAATAATTGCTTGCAATGAAAGTGAAATTAATTGGCTGAAAGTGTAGCTGTTTATTAGACTTAGTTTCTTTGATTTGTTGTTGTTTCGTGATCCTTATTGCAATGAGTGGCATAGCTTTATGTACATTACAGGGGGCAGAGAGAGAGGGGGAGAAGGAGAGAGAGAGAGAGGAGGAGAAGAGAGAGAAAGAGAAAGAGATAGAGAGAGAGCGAGAGGGGCAGAGTGAGAGGAGAGGAGAGAGGAAGGTTACAAGCAATAGAAGTGGAATTAATTGGTAGGAGAATAGCTATTCTTCTTATCATCTTTTCTATTTATCAAATCACAGTCTAGGGAAAATGAAGGGAAAGAATGAAAGAGATAGAAAGAACGTATCAGAAAGATTAAAAGATGATACAACCCCTTCCCATTCCCCCTAACTCTTAAGCCTTATTCTCTCCCATTTCATCCACTTACATTAAGTGCCCCCCCCCCCCAAGATGGCATTATCAATGAACTCGTCAGCCTAAGATTTCTTTTTTCGCTGGGTGTAGAAATGTGGGGTCACATCATCTTCGGCTTGCAGCAGGTAGGGGGAGACATCGGGGTGATGGAGATTATTAAAATTTAAAGGTTGTTAAATCAAGTAATCAACCAGAGGGTTGAATCAGCCACCACCCCCCCCCCCCCCCCCCCAACCCCGAGACCAATGCCCCACAGTAGCTGGGTCCATGCTATGTCACTGATGGTGATAAGAAGCAATTATTAAAAGTAAAATTGTTTGGCTGAACAATAGCGTTTATTACATTTAAATTTTCTGTCTGATCTACGCAAACTGCACGCAATGAAAGTAAAATTAATGGCCAGGTTAAAGTCCTCTTATCTCAGTTTAGTAGACTGAGTATTTCCATAACTAATCTTTTTAATGTTTCTGGATTTCACTTTCAATGCACTTAAATAAACATATTACTTATAAACCGCTCTATTAAATATATTGAAGTGCTTGGATTCTGTGGTTACTCTCGATATCTTTTTCATACGAAGGAACATGATCCCCCCCCCCCTCCATCAGAATGTCAGTGGGGAGAGACACAGTACATGTACAATAGGGACACACATTGCTTTTAGTTGAATTTGGTATAATTTGGGTAATTCTTAATGGGCTATAGTTGCCATGAATGAGGATAGCTGCCTAGAAGTCTAAAGGTATTGTTTGATGGGATAGTTGTCCTTTGGGTAGTTGTTCTAGATTGGAGTAGGATAATTTCTTTCTTTTTTCTCTTTGTTGTCAGATATTTCAGTCGTAACCTTTTTTTTCTTTTACCTGAAATATATAAATCCTCTTTTATCTTATTTGTCAAGGATTTTTTGTGTGATTGTGCCCTCCTTCCAAAGTCTATGTTATGCTGTTCTTTTCCTCTCGTCATTGGCCTATTTGCAAAGATATATTTGACCATGCAGGCCCTACAAAACCATCAAAAAGTTGCTTGAAATTATTTGTTTAACTGTAGGTTTGATTCTAAAATAGTAGATCTCAGCTTTAACATGATTTATATAGTTAATATAGCTAAATTTTTTATACCCTTACCAAGTTTTGTACTCCTTTTAGTATAAAAAATTGATTTGTCATGATTTACATTTCTTCAGTTTGTGACATATTAAAACAAAAGTATTCAACTAAGGCCCTAATTTAACCGGTCTATGAAGAGAAAAAATCAGACAAAGATTAGTCTACAAAACGTGCCTTAAAAGACCACTTCAAGATTGTTTAATGATTCCAAACTTTGAAATTACATAGAAGAAAGTAGTCTCTTTTGGGAAATGCTAAGAACTAAAATTCTGGCTCCAAAAAATAATTTCAATCCATGGTGGAGGATCATAGTGTCAGGGACCATGATTTGGACCATAATTTGGACCATGGTTTCAATTTAAAGTGACTCAGTATTAAACATTGCCTCAGATTCTGAAACAACATCCTGGATTTAGCTCATGCTGCGATCATAATTATAAACCTTTAGGTCAGTCAGGAATCCCACGACTTTCACAAGCCAATCGCCTGTCTGATTATCAAGATATTTATGATTGGAAATCGAAATTTCATTTTTCGTTTTCCTAACGGTTTTTATAACACTACAATTTTGGGGGGAAAATGAGTATGGTAAAACCGTCACTCAAAGATTTTTACTTTTTCAAGGCACTTCATGATCATTTTGAAGCGCAATTTTGTTAGGGCTTCAATATTACACTATATCACAGACACTGATAACATGTAGGGCCATGCATCTCAGATTTAACATTGTTCGAACGATGCCTTTAAACCTGATCGTTTGTAACCTTTTTTTACAGAGCGGCACAGGGAGGGCACCTGGACGTGGTCAAGTTCTTACTGCACCGGGGAGCGGATGGACGGGCTAACCAGGAGAGTAAGATGACTGCCCTCTACGCTGCCTGCCAGCACGGCTACCTCGAGGTGGCAGAAACCTTGCTCAAGGTAAGTGACTGAGTCCTGTTTTTTTTTGTCTTTGATTTCATCAAATTTTTGGGGAAAAAAAGTCTCCCAAAATTCATGTATATCCCATAACAAGAAGCAATGCCTACAAATAATTATAAAGTCTGTACAAGTAAGAAAACAAAGGCAAAACATTATTTTACTGTTTTGACCAGTTTATTGAAGTAATTAGTCAATTCTATTTTTCTTAAGAAAGATATCCTTTGTGTCTGTTCACTGGCCTTATATCTATTCTGAAAGCAAATCTTCAATGATGCCTTATTCTTGGTATAATATGTATAATGTATATATTTCCAGTGTAACTTTAATAGAGAAGGTTGTTTTGTGCTACAATTTTATAATGCAACTGAAATGAAAAAGTGAAAAACAGCAATTCATGTCCATCATCATCCTCAGGAAAATAAAAACCTGCTTGTGGAGGTTATGTGAAGACATCCCATTTTGTTAGTTTACGCACATTTAACCCTTAGCAATAAGAATAACAGGAAGTAGGGTATTTAGATATTTTGTCTACATTTATTTTTGCTTCAAACTGCGTCACAATTAGATAGCGTTCTTCTGACAATGGAAGCCTCCACTCACCCTCTGTTTCTGTTATTTTAGGATCTAATATCAACAATATCATGACATCAATGAATTTCCTGAATCTTTGGACGGATACATAGAAGTTTTTGTTATCAGTTAAAGGCAAAGTGCACAGATACATGTCTAGTGTAGGCCTGGCCAAAAGTTTGATTTAAAAGAAATCTGCTTTTTTACCTTTCGAGATTCCTTTGCATTTTGGTTCAATTCATTTTAATTTGAAAAAATGTCTTTCCTTGTCCATGAAAATAGAAAAACCTTTGCAACACTTGACATAAGATAGAATGGCATTGATGTTTTAAAAAAGAAATTTTATGATTGTAAGGTAAGGTATGTGTACTGTACATAAATGAATGAAGGTTAGATTATAAATAACTCTTATATTTAAGCATTTTCTTTGTGAATAAATTATATATTTTCTTAAGATAGAATTTATCAATCCTAAATTTGCTTTCAACTTTCTCTGCAGTAGAGCAGATATAATTTCCCCAAATTTAAACCCCAATAGCCTTGATGAATAAAGCAGGTGTTATTTGTACGGCACTTCCTAATTTCTTTCAAACGATGCTACTTTTCTTTTTATAGATGTATAATTTTAGAATTTAATCTATTAATATGTACATTGCATGACAAATCTGAGTTTATGAGGTGCGTGAAGTTTATCAATGTTTTTGTTAGGTGATACGTACGTAGACGTATCACTGTTTGATTTCGTCAAGATTTTCTTTATTATTATTATTTTTATTTTTATTATTCTTCCTCAAATTTGTTCGCAAGATATCTCAAGACTGAATAAAGTTATTGTCATCAATCTTTCAATGATGATAGATCTTAGTCTAACTTAAAACTGCGTGACTTTTCAAAGACTCAAGGTCATCGTGACGTCATCCAGGCGCCATTTTGTTAAAATCAACTTATGATCATATCTTCATAACTGAAAGTAATTTTTCATTCATATTTTACATGATTAAGATCAATATCCGTCCGGTCAATTTCAGGTCAATAAGAGTGCGCAAACGCGCGCGTACGCGTTCGTGCGCGCTTTAACGCGCGTGCAAAAATTTAAAATGCTCCAAATCATCCCGATTTTTTTTGCATACGTTTCAGACCATATGGCGCATTTGACTAAAAAATCATGCACAGCGCATGCGCACGCGTTTTTTGCGCGTAATGGCATTTGGCAACGTAGAATCACCGAATTTTCTCTGTCATCATATTTGGCACATTTTTCCAAGCATTTCGATAACTTGTTCATCTTTTAATAACGCAATGAGCGTCCGTCAAAGTTGACAGCACGCGCGGATCTGCGTTATTCTTATCCACAATACATGGGCAAAAACATGCCTATACAAAATTTATTGTAACTCTTCAGAATGGATGGGAAATCCCAATATTTTTTCATATCTAGATAGATTATAAGTTGGAGATATGATTTCATGTCTCATTTTTGCCATTTAGTATATGTTAACATTATCATATTGACCTTGGAACTCAAAATACAAATTTGAATATTATGACGTCAGCATATTTACGGAAAACGATTGTATCTCTGCAAATATTGATCAATTTTCTTCTAAATTTTGATGTTGTAGCTGAGACAATTCTTCACAAGATTATTACCAATATTTATTCATTTGATGACGTCATTATGGTAAAAATTTCGATTGAAGACGACATATGTCAGATATTTGCTTAATATGCGTGTTATGCCTATGGGAGGTGATTGATACTACATTCCAGTCTAGACTTGTTCATTATGTTGCGTATGTAGTGCGTCGAAATATCAGTTCAATGATTGGTAGGCTCTGCGATCAGGCGAAAATTTGAGCTTGTTTAATAAATTAATAGTTTAATCATATAACAAATGTCTATCAAATACCTGAATGGGGCGCTATACCACTTTTATTCATTGTCATTGTCATTTAAAACCAAAAAATCATCATCATCAATATCATCATTATCGTATTTATGAAGATTATCATTAGATCATCATCGGCACACTTTCATGATACAAAATTAGCTTACGTATCACCTAATTCGTCAAAGTGACGAATTAAAGTCTAGTTTTCATTATTTTTTTTTAAATATTTGTACAATTGCGAACAATAGTCACTTATTAAAGGAGAGCCCCAAACAGGCCAATCAAATTGCTTCGCTGCTGCTCACATGATGTTATGTTTTAATAATCTATTCAAAAACAAAATGAACAAAATATTTCCTACACATGTCACGTAAGAAATATATGAAGCACCCAATGTAGGAACGTGGAAGCAGAGTTGTGAATAGGGGAAGCTATTGTAGTATTTTGTGACTATTTATGTCACACTTTCTCTTTAACTGTCTTCAAATGAAACTGAAGTTTAACAGGAAGCTTGTAGGAAAGAATTGTACACTCCTGTCATTTCCCCACAGCATTTTGAGATTTTGCCAGTTCAGTTGTTGATGTTTTAACACACTGTACATGTGGAAGAACAAAAATCAAATTACAGTGCACCATGAGAGTGCTCTTTTGCTCTGGTATAGTATATACTCCTGGGGGCCGGGGGGGGGGGGGGGGGGGGGTGTTTCACAAAGATCCTAAGTAGAACTTAACTCTAAGTTGGACTTAAAAATTATGGAAAGCCATTAGCATCTTTGAAAATATTTGGTAAAAATATTTTTGAAAGGCATAAAATATTTATTCAAATCATTCATATTTTCTATCATTAAGGAGATTTCATATTCTTGTTGTGGAATTTATAAAATGTCTAAAATACTTGAATTTCTGCTTTTGAGTATATTTCATTTTAAGGCTCCAATGGCTGTCCATAATTTTTAAGTCAAACTTAGTGTTAAGTTCTACTTAGGATCTTTGTGAAACACCCCCCTGATGTAAGTTTCTGAGATAGTTTGCAATATGAAGTCCTTTTTTTGTTTCTGTTTATACATGTATTGCTAATATGTGGCACTATAATGTCCTTTGGCAAGACATTTGCCACTCTCCACCCAGGTGAAGTGGAGGGGTACCCGGTAGAAAGAAATCTCTTGAATGCTTTAGTGAATATGATGGCAGCTCTGCTACAGCCCTTTCTAAGTTTCTACTTGTGTATCTGGTATATATTTTAGGGTTCGGAATCAGAAGGTATCGAGCCAAACCACAACATGCAGAATATATGTCACGAAAGGGTTAAAGTTGAGTTCTGATCATGCGATTGCAATGTGAAAGAAACATTGTGGAAGTGATCAGAAAAGGTTGATCATCTAGCATGCAAGTATTGGTGTGTACTGCAAGGTTCTGGAATCATCAAAATGACTAGAAATTTGACCAAGTCTGGGTAAAGTTACAAGCACTGTACACAGAAAGATGTATATTGGACTACATGAACATGTGGCATAAAAATCTGTCCTGATTTTTATGATGTTCATGCCATATTTAGAATATTAAGGCATTTGAAGAGCCATGCTTTTAAAGGAACATTTTTTATCTGATGTTCTTCCACACTTGCATAATACAATGATAACGCTCACAAATTATTTTTCACCTCTTCTGGCTATGCAGAACCTTCCCTTTAAATGTTTTTTTTTCTTTTCAGAGGTTTCCTGGCATGGCAAGTGAACAAACGCAGGACATGGAGCTTCCTCTTCATGCTGCGGCCAAGGAAGGCTTCCCCAACCTCGTCAAACTCCTCCTGGAATTTGACTATAAGACGGCTGTCGAGGAATCGGTAAAGACCATATATCCTTTATTTCATCTGTTATGGGATAGTTCCGTTGCTTAGAAATTGTAAAACCCAAAAGTAGTTTGTACAAAGATCCTCAAAAAGAATATTTATCTCATTGCATCCTTTTTTTGTAGCAAGAGGAGTGATAGAGGAGTAAACTAAAATGACAGTACAACCTGGTTTAATGAACACCTGATTAGAAACATCATGTTTCTTTTAAACACACAATTTTTGGCTCCTTTAATGTTTTCCTTGGAAATTATATAGGTGTACAAAAAGCCAACCTTCTTGTTAAGACTGCATTACTTGTATCCTTTTAGCGGTCATTATATGCAGATTTCTTATACTGCTCTTAAAGTTTATTTGAGATATGTTTGTATGCTACTATGTTGAAAATGATTTTTTTTTTCTCTCTTGCTTTTCCAGAGCATCTGTGAGTCTGACCTTGGAACCTCCAGCATCACCTTCAAGTCGTACAAGGGCAACTTGCCCTTCTACATCAACCAGAGAAACATCAATGGACAGACTGCCCTCTATCTAGCCTGCATGGCCGGTCACCCTGAAGTGGTCCGTATTCTCTTGGAATACCAGCCTTCGGGGACAGCGAGACATTCCTACGCGACGCTCAAGAAGAAATCATATGTGGACGTTGATTGTTACACGGTGCTTGGACAGACGCCCTTGCACAGTGCGGTCATGAAGGGCGATACTGAGATCGTAGCGCTTTTGCTGAGGCATGGTGCCGATGTGAACCTTCCTATCAAGTCTATACAGTGCCTGTTTGATTCCGCAAAGGAGAAGGATTCAGGAAAGATGACGGAAAAGATGTTCTTTGCCGAAGAGGATTCGTCACTGCTCTATGAGGCGTGTAGCGCCAACGAGTACAACATTGACATCATCAATATGCTTCTTCGGCAAGGTGCGCGTGATGTTGACGACAAGGCCTTGATGGCTGCTACGCTAGCTGTTCATAATGACATCAAGACTAGTATTCTTGCACATACTGGTGTCCATCCAGATCCAGACTTTGTAATCAGTGACAAACCTCTTAGCAAGTTCAAGAACTACTTCTTTGAATGCTCACGGAGCAGTAGCCTTGATTTGGATGAGTCTTCAATTAAGTATGGGAAGGGATCGCGGGAAACTGCATCAATGCAGAGATCCCGTTTTGGGAGGCAGGACTCAAAGCAGAGTGAACACCGAAGGGGTGGGATCTTAGATCGCAGGAAAACCGTTGCGAGTATCAAGCGGTCGGTGAGCACGCATGGACCATTCGATACTGCCGTGACCATCGACTGGCATGATCATAACTTAACAGAAGTTAACGTTGAGTGGTTGGTGGAGGCTGGTTTTCGGCATAACCCAGCTCTAAGACATTACCCCGTTCCCGGATCAGGGATTCATGATGTAGTCGCTACCATCACCCGAATTGACATTTCTGATAACAGCCTCGGTAGGATTCCTCTGGTTGTATTCCAGCTGCCATCCTTGCAGCACCTGAATGCCAGTCGGAACAAAATCAGCAGACTCCCTGAAGGACACACTGTTGGAGAACAAAGCTCAAGAAAGAGTACTCATTCAGATGGTTCCGATGTATTAGCTCCGGATCAGTGGAACGCCCCCTTGCTGAAGCATATTCACTTGGAGCACAACAGGATAAGTGTCTCACCTCCAGATATCTTCTTATTGCCATGTCTGGAAAACCTTTTCCTTCAGAACAACAGGCTGGCTCACATGCCGTTTGAGATGTGGATGTCACCGAAGCTGAAAAAGCTCAATCTTAGTCGGAACAGGATAGAAGAGTTGCCCAGTTACCAGATGGACTCTGCTGGTGTTGTCAACATGAGCTGTCATTTGGAGAATCCGGGGAGCATTCAGAATCACGCAGGATGCAACCAGAAGACAAGCCAGATCTCTCTACCCATGGCGCTCTTGGCCGAATCAAAGAAAGACTCTGCATCATCACCAGGCAAAGGAGGCAAATCCCGTAGCAGTCCAACGCTTGACGAAGCCGGCTTGGAGAGCCAGTCTACCTCTACAAGGGGGATGAAACGACAGATCTCCTCTGGAGCGATGTCGATGCCAGACTCAGAGGGAGCTGATTCCGGGTCGCACACACCCCCGCGGCGGTACTCCTTTGTCAATATGAAGCGCCATCGCTTGTGCAGCATGGGGACATATGACGTCTCCCACGAAGAAGAGGAAAATGTGAACGTAGATGAACTGAGTTCCTTGGAAGTACTTGACCTGTCTCATAACAAACTTTCCCAGATACCATCAGGTCTACCTTGCCTGTCTCCAAAGCTGACCAAGCTTATCCTGTCCCACAATGACATCTTAGAACTCTGCTCTATCAGCAAGCTACCAGCAGGTCTGATGGATCTAGAACTGGCCCATAATAAAGTCAAGTACATCTCCGTAATAGCACCAAGGACCTCTCTCCGCGGCAAGAACACTTCTTCGCGGCTCATCCGGGCGGCATCTACGGTGGAGAACCCTACCAATTCGACCGACTCCTGCTACAGTCCGAAGACATCCTGCTACATGGTCACCTCGCCGCTATCATCCTCATCGTCCAGACGTAGGAGCCGTGAGTCCGTCATGGTGTCGCCGACTCTCTCGGTGTCCACCAACAGCCTGGTCCAGGTCTGCAAGCATCGGAGGCACCGGACCTTGGCCAACCTCAGGACCCTGGACCTGTCCAACAACTGCTTGGAGAAGCTGGAGATCATCTCAAGGATGCTTGTGGATGCGCCCCATGATATCGATGAAGATGAGGATGAACCCATGGTAGTGACGATACATGGACAGCAGGATGAAGACCCAAATGTAAGTCCACCCCTAGATTTAGTAAGGCTTGTGAAGGGTCGATTAAATAGTGTTCAAGATACATTGAAAGAAAGTACATGTATTATTGATCATTTATCAAACTATAAGCAGCAGACGTTTGTGTTTGCTGCTGCTTTATACCAAGAAGAGAGAGAGAGAAAGACGGGCAAACAAACAGACAGAGGCCGATACAGATAGACATTCAGACAGATAGGCAGACAGAGACAGATACAGATAGACATTCAGACAGATAGGCAGACAGAGACAGACATGACAGGGAAACAAATGGAGAGAAAATTTCAAGAGAACAGTGAAATTTGCTTCTGGTATACACTGTAGATAGTCACTATGAATATGACTGACAAAGAAAGCGGACAAAATATACAGTTCCTCAGGTAGACAAAGGAACATCCCTTCACTGCTATTATGTAAAAATGTGTAGAACAGGTGTCACATGGATATTCACCTTTTTACATAATAGCAGTGAAGGGATGTTCCTTTGTCTACCTGAGGAACTGTATATTTTGTTCACTTTCTTTGTCCGTTATGTTCATAGTGAGTTGTAATATGTAAAGGTAGACAGGTTCAGTTACAATACATGTAGCAATTGCAAATAAACACATTTCTCCCTAATGAGTGACGATGTTGCCCGTTTCCTGAAAATGCTTTAATGCAGGATTCTTGTGACTTATATCAACATTCATTGTAGCTGTAACAATATATGAAGTTATCTTTCTTGTTTATGATGTAACAAGTAAAGTAAAAACTCTTCGCTGCTGTTCGAGTCTCGCCGCAGCACTAATGTCCTTTGGCAAGACATTGATCTACATTTTACCTCGCTCAATCCAGGTGAGGTAAATGGGTACCTGGTAGGATTATTCCTTGAAATGCACTGCGCTGATAATGGCTGCCGGAGCTAAAGCTAAGGTAATAATTTTAAAAACTCTTTGGAAGCGCATAGACATGTTATTTCATAACGTATTATGCACTATACAAGAACTGAATATTATTATTATTATTATTGTTGCTTGCTTGTAGATTCCTGCTGATGCCTGGAAGCTCTACACCAACACAGCTTGCACGGACACAGAGGGAACCCTACTCTTTCCGAGCCTGAACGTCCTGATGCTCTCCAACAACCTGCTGAGTGAGATCCCGGCCGATGTGCAGTACCTGACCAAGCTTAGCAGTTTCAAGGTTTGGAGAAACAACCTGTTTCTATTTTGTTAAAGAATTCTATTCAATTTTATTTCACCAACTTGGAAGTAATGACATACTACATACACTACATGTATATACATTGGTACAACAATATAAGAGTTAAATAAATTTAATGCTTCCTGGGAGAAAATTAAATTGTTTAAACATATTTGTGGCTTACACCCAGTAAATAAGATCGATTGATCAATCTGTACCAGATTACAAGTATATGACAAAATACAACAATACAGATGAAAAAGATAGTGCCTGGCATATAATAATTAGAGATAAGTTGAAACAAAATGTTCAAATTAGATAAATATTTTGCATGAATGACTAATTTAGAAACCCACTTTTAAATGCGAACAGCACTAAGTAGGAAAGAGTGTTGTGCATCTCATTAGGACAAGCTGAACTCTCTCTATCTAGTGAGATATCTATCTACCTGTATGTCCCGTAGCTTGAAGGCTGTTTTGGGGCAACAATGAAATGGACCTTGAAACACAGGTTCTCCATAATTTTCTGAGCTGGTAGGCAATCTTCGCGAGTTGCCCCCTCAGGGCTTTGAGGGCAGGGGGGAGGTCTGTGCGAACGAAGACGCGGTCCTCGTTGACTTCTGGTGGGTTTGGTTCACGCGGCTTGCGCTGGCGGTCCTCGTAGGCACCAAGTACCTTGTTACGATCGGACATGTAGACTAATTTTGCGATAATCGCGTTCGGTGCTTGGGGCTGGTCTGGTACGGTCTGGAAAGGCGATGGCAGTTGGCTAGATCAATATTAGCGGAGTTGATCTATTTGATTCAGAGTTGGATGAAAGTTTCACGAAGCACTTGGGCGACATTCTCATTGGGTTTGTCGGAGATCCCATAAAAGAGCAGGTTAGCGCATCGCTGGTAAATTTCCCTTACGGTCATCTTTTCCTGTAGGTCGGCGATTTGCTTTTCAAAATAGTGTTTAATGTTGGGCAGTTTCTCTAGCTCTATCTCTGAGACTTTCTCCGAGTTGAATTTCACAGCATTTTCTAGCTCGGTGACTTTTGATTTTATGGAGGTCACTTCTGCTGTGAGGGTGTCTAGCTTAGAGCAAACGATGGCAGAGGAGCGATGGTTGGATTCCTGGATATCCGCTAAGGAGAGGATTGGCGTGGGCGTGTCTGTGGCTGGTACAAGGGCTCGAGCCGGTGATGCACCTGCCGCTTCAGCCGGGATAGAGGCTGCCGGATGATCGGCATGTCTTACAGGAGTTGCGTCCTTGGCCTGGGATCGAAGTGCACGCGAAGTCATGGTGGTAGTCAAGAATTCACAAATTTAGGCAATATGTACGATGCAAAGCTTTCCCAAACAGGATATATTTGTTGTGGGTGAATAACTATAAAGGTTTGAGTGAAAGTTATGAGCAGAATAGCATTAAATCCGGGTGTAGAACATCGGTGGAAAATTAATATGGGGCGTTGGCTGCGAAACCAAATCTAGACGTTCGTCTCCATTGAAGGCTGTAGTAGTAGTTCCTTTTTGCAAAATGGTGTTGTTTACCAAGATATTTTTCCATCTAGTTCCTGTCCACTGCTTGATTTTATTAGTCTGTGTCCTAGTTGGTCTGCCCCTCTTTCTTCTCACATCAATTCCTCCTTCCAAGATGGTGTTTGCTGAACTATTCTTCCATCTAGTTACATATATTTAGATTAAAAATGGTGAATATGATTGTTTAACCTTTCAGGTGGATGGTAATACAAACATCACTACCCTACCACCAGAGATGGGAAGACTCAAGTGTCTCTACGACTTCAACGCAGATGGTTGCCAACTTGTGGAGCCTCTCTCTTCAATGATCAAGACATCGCTCGTCAAAGATGTGCTGGGATACCTTCGTTCCATTCTCGATGAGTGAGTTGCATTTTTAAGCTCTTTTCAAAATAAGGGATATTTGTTCTTTCTTAAAGCCTATCTGTAATAGTTTGGCCAGAGGGATTAGACCTCCCTGCAAGGTCACTGACAGGTGGTTATCTCATCAAATCAGCTCTCAATTAACATAAGGAAAAGGGGACCATGGGGGACCAACGATCACTGCTTAGGCATTGTTTGCTTTATAGAGGGCGCAAGTAGCTATAAGTAGTGCAGTGGGGCTTTAAAAGCATATTGAGTATATATGTAAGCTTACAGAACCATCCATATTTGGGGCCGTGTCAGTTTCAGCCATGGTCGACTTCTAATTTGCAGAGGTATCGAGCCTAGAATAATTGACAAAATTGAGGTGAGAAATTGTGTAACAGTATTGTACATTCACACTTAGGATGATCAAATATCTTGCTGATTTCTGTAAATAGGATCATCTTGATCAACAGGAGTTTTCTAACTGTATCTGTGCTTTTTATTTGGTCGCTTGCTATCTCACACCTTCAAAAATCGAACACAAAGTTTAGAGGGTGTGCTCATATCAATTGTAGGAAATCACTCGAGTAAGGCTGTCTTGTACATATGAGGCCACTATATATATCACTTAGTTCATGGGCAAGTGAGAAGTTACGAAATATACAATGTACATGATATGTACATTACTTGTTGGTGAGGTTCATCTCTTTTTCTTCAGATTCTACATGAGATATCACATCATTTTAGTAACCGATTAATATACATGCATGTACATTGTACTTCAAAGAGACTGACAATTTTCTTTTAAAATCAGTTTTGAACTTCAAGAATACCTTGTTTAGATTTCTCACAGAGTCTGTTGAAGCATGTCTTAATTTTGTTTCACTCTTGTTGTCTTTGAAATGATAAATTTTTGTTTTATTCAATTTTTGTATAACAAATAATTTTATTTTTCAGTGCCAAGCCGTACACCCGTATGAAACTTATGTTTGTAGGGAAGGCTGGCATTGGGAAGACAACCCTGCTGAATGAACTTCGCAGGGATGGTGTGGGTGCATATATCGCCCAGTCACTAGGGGTGAGTCCGATTTAGTTGTAGTGGTGGTGTTAGTAGTGGTAGTAGTATTAGTGGTAGTGGTTGTAGTGGTGGTGGTATTGGTAGTGGTAGTATTGGTAGTGGTGGTGGTAGTGGTAGTATTGGTAGTGGTAGTAGTGGTAGTGGTAGTAGTGGTAGTGGTAGTGGTAGTGGTAGTGGTAGTGGTAGTAGTGGTAGTGGTAGTATTGGTAGTGGTGGTGGTGGTAGTGGTAGTATTGATAGTGGTGGTGGTAGTGGTAGTATTGGTAAAGTTAGTGGTAGTGGTGGTAGTGGTAGTGGAAGTATTGGTGGTGGTAGTGGTAGTACTGGTAGTGGTAGTGGTAGTATTGGTGGTGGTAGAAGTGGTAGTGGTAGTAGTTGTGGTAGTAGAAGTAGTAATGGTAGTGAGTAGTTGTAGTAGAAGTAGTAGTGGTAGCAAAACTTTGTAGTTATCAGAATTTAATGTTGGTTGACATTATGATGATGCAACTTACCCAAATATTTAAAAGAGTTACATGTTTCCTTCCATACTTCTTTCTACGCTAAAAACTTGAGTTGATATACATGTATCTACTCATACATAATGATTCCAAGACTAAAATTCTGTTCTACTTATAATTTGTAAAATATTTGTAAATTCATATAGGAGCTGCACTGTATAAATTGACATTTTATTATTGTATCCAGTGTTTCTTTTCCGGTTTATCAAATATAGTCACATGCGATTCCTCAATAAAAAATGTTTTACTTACCTTAATTGAACCTCTTTTTTTCATCGCTCTTTTTTCTATATCGTTAGACTTTTGGAGAGAGACAGGGCAACAGTCACATCAGTGGAAAGACCTTGAAGGGCAACCACCTGTCTACTGTTGGGGTAGACGTTTGTGAGTGGACCTACAACAAGAAGAAAGCCAAGCACGGCAAGGTCACCTTCAGCACATGGGACTTTGGAGGACAGGTGAGAATATCGATCAGGGCGTGGCAGGGTGTGGTTGGGGTGAAGGGTAGAGAAGACTCTAAAGGGTACTCACTGTTCTACCGTCTGAGTAGACGTCTGTGAGTGGACCTACAACAAGAAGAAAGCCAAGCACGGCAAGGTCACCTTCAGCACATAGGACTTCGGGGGACAGGTGAGAATATCAGGGCAGGGTGGGGCGGGGCCGAGGGGTAGGGGGATAGGGATCTAGTGATCGAAAAGGGATGGGAAGACTCTTAAGGGTACCCACCATTCTACTGGAGAAGCTAGGAGCCAATCACAGAGTGTTTTTTTTTGTCATTGAGGTTAAAGACACATACATGTAGTAGTCAGCTCTCATGGGGAATTTGACACCGTTCAGGTGTTTACCCTATAACAGGCTTTGTCAATCACCAGGATTAGCTTTCAGTTTTATGACCAAAATGCCCTATGTAATGCCTTGTATTTCCTCATCCATTCCTCCACAAGGTAAAGTCATTATCTCACTTCTCCCTCACCCGAAGACTCTCCGAGAGACGAAAGGGTATTTCTTGATGGACCTACAGGTTCGCTGTGTGCAAACTTGTAAACACATTAATTGTATTTCCACCAAGTCTGGTGTCAGCGAATTATGGCTTCTGCACATGGAAACTGACAAACCACTCCCTTTAATAGCCTTCTTTACTCATGATGCTGTACCTGCCTTGGCCAAAATCTACCTTGTAAAATAGTGGTGGACTTGGTGTCCTGGCCCAATAACAGACATTGTAGTGAAGACTAATTTTGTGCATGCATTTTTCAATTATACCCAAAGATCGATGCCAGGATTCTAACTTGCTGTATACATTTTCTTACTTGTTTTCATTCTACAGCAAGAGTTCTATGCAACACACCAGTACTTCCTGACCAAGCGCTCCCTCTACCTTGTGGTGTGTAAGATCACAGATGGGTCAAAGGTCATAAATGAACTCCAGCAATGGCTGGTCAACATCCAGGTACGCGTATGGGTTTCATTTCATTTCATTTAACCAAACTCCTCCCCCCAAAAAATTGGAAAGTCAAGTACGATCGATCATATCTCTCTTGTTATGGTACAGTCAAACCTGCATTAGTGACCACCTGTCTTCAAAGACCACCTGTCTACAACAAGCAAATTTTTTTGTCTCCCTTGAAAATGGTTTACATGTACTAAAGGAACCTGTCTACAAAGACCACTTTTTTGTGTTTCCCTTGGTCACTGTAGACAGGTTTGACTGTATAATCATCACTATTATTATTATCATTAGGAAGTGGGTTATCACTTTTCAAAAAGATACTCCATTTGTTATGATTTTTCAGTCATGGAATGTGCAGTAGATCAAAATACACCTACATGTGTAGCAGGTGTATCCGCAGTAGGAAATGCAGGGTTCCCATGGTAATGGAAAATTCTGGAAAGTCAATGAAAAATAAGTTCTTCTGGAGAGTCATGGAAAATGATAAAAACTCTCAGGGTCATGGAAAGTCATGGACATTGATCGTCGGTGTTGGCCGTGTGTGGCTATGCAAGCCTTTCAGTTTGAACTGACATTGGACGTGGTATTTGCAGGCCGCTTAGATGCTGCAACCCATACCAAAATGGTACTTATCTGGGCCTGTTGCATAAAACTGACTATTGATGGTAACTTTACCATCAATGGCAACTACCATGGGCTCAACAGTCAATCAAAATCAAGGTTTCCATGGTAGTTACCATTGATGGTAAGTTTTGTGCAATGGGGCCCTGGTCATGGAAAAGGGCAAAAAAAAGGAAAATCATAGAAAGTGATGGAATACTGTATGGTTATCAAATTTCTGTGGCAACTCTGAAATGATAAATGAATAGGGGTGGTAGATTTCTTTGGAGAGTAGATGTTTTAAGGGCTATTGTCTAGTGACAGGTGATTGGAGATGTTCTCTTGAGATAGTAGTTGGTATCTCTCTCTCTCTCTCGAAGTGCCATATCAATTGACTTTGGTGATCATGCTGTTCCACAACCCTCGGTTCCTAGCCTTATCTATTAGCCCCACTCTCAGTTATTTCACTCTTCTCTCTCTTCCAACAATTTCTGCAGACTGTCCGTCCTAAAAATCCTCCTTCTTCCCCTACTCGGAAGTCTGTATACACAAAATATCAGGATAGTTATGCATTTAAATTAACATGTGTGTTCCTGTTTATTTTTCACCAGGCGAGGGCACCTAACTCGCCAGTCATCATTGTCGGCACGCACTACGACGTCATCCTCCGAGATAAGAAGTACTCAAAGGAGTACTGGCCCGAGCTGAAGCGCACCATCTTTGATCGATTCATCAACATCGCCCATCCCCAGGATGCGGGGCTCCCTCATGTGATAGCCTGCGTGGAGGTGAGCTGTGCCGCGAGCTCCAAGTCGTACAATGTCAACATGCTTAGGGACTTGGTCTATGACACAGCGTACAGTCTGACCGGTGAGTGTTTCCATAATTCGAAAGCAGAAATTCATGTTGTTTCATTTGAACACATCAATCAATGCTTTTTAATATGTCTTGCTTTGCTGTTGATACAAACAAAATAGAAAATGGGAGGTTTCCCGTTAAGTTGGCTTTGCATCATTTTAAGTAGAGAGATCATTAATTATTATAATTGTAACATATACATGTATATTGTGTTTCACAAAATGGCATACCAACATTTACTTCATTGTTTTTGTTATGCTCAGAGGGTAGAGAGAGGGAGCCCTTGCTGATGCAGCGGGTGCCGACATCATATCTTGCCCTTGAGAAGGCTGTGATGCAGATCTCGGCCGACATGAGGGCCGCGAAGAGAGAGCCTGTCCTGCACAGTACTGAATACAAGTACGTCATTGATCATTGAATGCACCTGAGTTTGGTTATATATGTTAATTTATAATTGTTATTTTGGAGGAATAATTCCTGTTTTCTGCCTTCAAACTAGTGTCATGAACCCTATATTCCTCTCCTTTTCTGGAGAAAAACAAATCTGAGCACTAATTTTTACCTTCGTTTTTGACTTCCTTCATTCTGTCACATGCAAGATATGTGTAGAGTCTATGGGAGTGGGAAAGTGGGAACCAAGGCATGCGACGGAATGTTTGCGGTGCGAAAGTACACTAGCGCCAAAATCTATTCAGAAGCATATCGTACAGTATGCTGTATTCCTAATTTTTTTCCAGGAAAATGCGGCTTTAAGCTGTAGAAGGTTGGCTGTTGCATGAAATGATTTAATATATGATAGTGAATAACTCCTTCTGACCAATTAGGATCCAGCTTTAGCTAACCAATCAGAAACCATCTGACTGGTGCAGTGAATCCTACCCAAGGGTATATAAACCCCCACCAACCATAGACACTCATCCTGGAGACAACCTATTCAAATGTAGAAAGAATATGGCGTGTTACCGCAAACCTCACTTAAAGGTAAAGACCAGCTTTGGAAACGCCTCCATTTAAAAAAATGAAATGGAAGCTCTTATTAGCAATCATGTGAAAGAATATGTTTTGACTATTACGTGGTGATACAAATTTTGCCAGGAAACCGCCTATTAATTGATATATTAGGTAAATTATTATATCTATCTGGATTGGATAGATATAGGGTAGTCCCATATACATCTTTCTGTGTACAGTGCTTGTAACTCTACCAAGACTGGGCCAAATTTCTTATCATTTTGATGATTCCAGAACCTTGCAGTACACACCAATACTTACATGTATATGCTAGATGATCAACCTTTTCTGATCAATTCCAGAACCTTTCTTTCACAATGCAATCGCATGACCATAACTGGTCTATACCTTTACAAACTCCTTCTCTCTTCCGTTGTCAGGTCAGAGGTGATGAGGATGATGGTAGAACAATCTCAGATCTCATTCCATGACAAGGAAGAACTCCTTCAAGCTACAAGGTTCCTTCATAACAATGGTAATCATTCAATATTTTAATTGTTTTGCACTTACTGGGGTGAAGTGGTTTCTTTTTTTGTGTAACCTATGAGTCATGTGACCAGACCGTGACACCACTATTTGTAATTGTTATACCATATCCAATATTCACTATTCATAAGTCTGTGTTCAGCATTCAATGTTCAAGATATATATTTCATGATGCATTACTGATTATTCATCGATATCTTCTGAATTTCAATATCAGGTATTCTTCTTCACTACGAGGACTCCATGTTGAATGACTACTTCTTCCTGGACCCGCAATGGCTATGCGACACATTGGCTAAGGTCGTGACGATTCCAGAGATCAATCCGGACGTTAAGAAAGGTATGATAGATGGATGGTAAGAATGATGAAGGGATAGTTGGATAATGAGATAAAGGAGTCTACGAATGGAAAGACACACAATATATAGATTTTTTTTTTTTTTTTTTTTTTTTTTTTTTTTTTTGGGAGGGGGGGGGGGGTTCTTGTTCGTAGCTTCTCCCTGATGCATTTCAAGGAGTAAGTAGGACAAGGCCCAGGGTCTTACAAATTCTGCATTCCCTTCTTTTTTTTCCCTTCCAGGCAACTTCAGGAGGTGCAGCAGGGGGAACTCAATCATATCACATGTTTTTTTATAATTTCATGTTACTTTAATATTTCTTTTGAATGCCAAATAAATAATAGTTTATACAAAAAAACAATAAGTTTGTTCAGTGTTCTGGCAGGAATTTATCCAAAAAGCCAGTTCGTATTTAATTTTTAATCCACTGAGACATATATATGTACCTTAAAAGTGGATATTGTGCTTTTTAGAGGAATTCTCTGTATGTAATGACTATTCATTTTTCAACCAAAGACACGTTCCATGATTTTTTTAGATGGGACCAATCTCTTTTAACAATCGAAGGGGAAACAAAACCTGGTGTAGAATGACAATAATATTGATGATGATGATGATGATGATGATGATGATTATAATATAATGAACCTCTCAAAAAAAATTGGAAACTCAAGCTTGATCTATTATATTTCTTTTTGTTGTGGGATAATTTACTATAACTAAAATAGAGAGTTTGGCTGGTTGTGCCCTCCCTCTCTCCTACATTAGCCCGTATTTATTTAGTGAACAAGTTTTCTTACAGCATTTGATTAAACCATCTGTTTCTTTCTTTGTTGTTTTATTTAAACAAAATTACAGGTGTCATGCTAGTCAGAGATTTGCATCGAAAGTTTGAGGATTCCAGCGTGAAAGAGTTCATCGTCAGTCTCCTCAACAAGTTTGAGGTGGCCGTGACCTATGACCCCAAGCACCTGTTGATCCCCTCTCGTTTACCCCAGGAGGGTGTGGATACCACCATTATACCGGTCTTCAGAAGCAGGAGCGACTCCACTAGGGTAAGGATGGTTAAAGCCCCACTGCACTACTTATAGCTACTTGCGCCCTCTATATAGCAAACAATGCCTAATCGGTGCCCATTGATCCCCCATGATCCCCCATGATCCTCTTTTTCTTATGTTAGTTGAGAGCTGATTTGATGAAATAACCAACTGTCAGTGACTTTGCAGGGAGGTCTAATCCCCCTGGCCAAACTAGTGCAGACGAGCTTTAACACTTATACTGTCAGCAAATTGATTCATTCAGAACAAGAATTTTCAAAGGGTACCAAATTCCTAATAACGAATAATTTGCGTACAGCTAAATGTAGAAAGTTAACCTAGCATTCTTTGGGTTAATGGTTAAGGAGTAGGAAGAAACTAAAGGATGATAAAGAAATAATCCTGCAGACTCCTGAAGTCTCTCATTCCCCATTGCTTAAAGGTATAGACCAGTTTTGGAAACACCCCCCTCTCAAAAAATGAAATGGAAGCTCTTTTTACCAATCATGTGAAAGAATATGTTTTGACTAAATACATGATGATACAAATTTTGCTGGGAAACAGCCTACTAATTGATATATTTGATAAATTATTATATCTATCCAGCCTGGATATGTTTTATTCATGCACAATTCAGTTACTTGTAACTGCGATACATGGAAATGAATCAATAAATACCATTTATCTATCTATCTATCTATCTACATCTTTCTGTGTACAGTGCTTGTACCTTTACCAAGACTGGGCCAAATTTCTTATCATTTTGATGATTCCAGAACCTTGCAGTACACACCAATACGTATATGCTAGATGATCAATCTTTTCTGATCGATTTCACAATGTTTCTTTCACAATGCAATCGCATGACCAGAACTGGTCTATACCTTTAAACTACCTCGTTCTTATAATCAATGGGCTCATATCAATGTGTAGTTAATCAAATTTAATTTTGATATTCATCCTCTGTACAGGTGTACAGGAAGACAGGAGCAAGAAGTCCATCCCCAATTCAATCCTCTCCCCCAGAAAGATGGAACAGGAAAGCAGTAAGGGGTCACAGTCCCTCCCCTTCCAGGATATACTGCCATGATGGATCACCGACAGACGGCTCGTCACCCAGAGAGACGTCTCCAGAGACCGTTGAGACCCCTGAGAGGAGCCCAGCCACGATGTCCATCCCTGTCCCGATCCGCAGGAACCTCCAAGGCAAGGCCCGCATGGCAAATTGCGCTTCATCACCTCCTTGCGAGATGTACAGCGAAGCCTCAACGTCTACCATGGGGTTGGACGCAATGGATACCCCCACATTTGAATTGTTGAGGAAGTCTGCCACCATCACCAAGAGCCCCAGCTCAGGGGATGTCAACACGGGAACGGTCAAAGGGAAGCTGGACAGAGCCGACATCGAGTTGGTGTCCAATAAGGCACAGGACAGCAAGGTACCGAGCCCTTTTGATGGGTACAAGTTCACTCCTGTGGAGAACCTAAAGACAGCTATCAGAAGACTCTATATCCTGCAGTACATTCCTAGTGGCTTCTGGTCACATCTGATCAGCAGACTGTTGTCCGACCAGATGATCCCTGGTCTCATCAACTCCATGTATCTGCTATCGGATGATGTCCACAGGTTCTTTGAGGGTGAGCCCCTGTCAGAGTTCACCAATGAGTTCCAATGGGTATGTTGGCAGTCGGGGATCGAACTGAAATTCATGTCGGTGACTGTGTTCCATGTGAAGGCTGTTGTCAGGGAAAAGCTTCTAAGTTCTGTCTTCGAGCGAGAGAGGAGACCCGAGTCCGTCCATGTATTGAGCCTAACAGACGATCCTGACCACTTCCCGAGGAACGTTTCCCTCTCCCGAAGTGGTCAGCTAGAGATACTCATTCCTAACCAAACTCTAGAAGTTACCCATAGGATACAACAGAGAGAGGCCAATGGAAAGGGAATGTCCGATTCTGTGAAGATTCTGACATCCTTGGAGACTGTCTCTCGTCTCCTTGCCACCATCATCGACTTGATTGACACCTTGATAGAGAACTTCTACCCCAACCTCTGTGAGCCTTTGGGCACAACTTTTGAAGGAGAGCTCTTCATCACAAGAGTTGTTCCTTGCCATCGCTGTTGGCGGGACTATAATAAGCCGAGCTGGGACGAGGTGGATGTCTCCGAGTGGGAGTTCATCCACGCTTTGGATGCGGAAGAGCACATGAACGCTGAACACGAGTCTCCGCTCCTCTGGTCGTCCATCAGCTCCGCGGATGCCCAGATGATCACCACCCGTACTGGTGAGCAAAGCAAGCTCTGCTGCGGTCTCTCCTGCAGCTATCCAAGACTCCACGACGACATCCTGACAGGGGTCAACCTCAAGCAGCTCAACCCAAGACGAAGAGCAGCCCATGCCCTCCAGCGGAAGGATCGCATTGCAGCAACGACCAACGCCCGCCTCTCGGCCGATGGTGACATGACTCTACAGACAGAGATCGACAATGACCGTGAGCATCCCCTACCGCTGGAAACCTGCAGTGAGCTAGGCATTGAGCCTGATGTCAGCAACGATATGATGCCCATGGACACTGTCCTCAACAGCACCCTGTTGAGCTCAATCCATAAGAGTGCTGATGTGCCGCATGATATCTGCGTGTACGGATTCCTCTTTGAAGAACTAGTCCTGCAGTCTATGAGGAATGAGTTTGTGGAGTGCCCCAACCATGGAAACATAGCAATCTCTGTTGTTGCCCCAGATGTTGTGAGTAAAAATTATTAGCATACCTGTACATTTAATTGATTGTACAGGACTTTCATATGTTTCCATTATACATTTACCTCTACATATAATTCATATCAAGATCTGTAGTTGTTATACTACTGACACACAATTTATCAAGGTAAAATTGCCTTGTCAGAGCTGCCAACCTCCAGAACAGAAAATCAGTAATCATAAGGCTCAAAATCAGTAATTTTGGGAATAAATCAGAAATTTCCTATGCGGCGCCATGGATCTAAAAACAATGGCACGCGAATGCATGCGGGCATGATTGTCTGAAATTTTTGGTGATTTTACTCCCACAAAGTTGATAAATATTGATTTTCAGGACATCACAACAAATAAGTTTTCAATGAAAAATAGGCTTCTAAGAGAATACTTGATACTTTTCCATCTGTCTCATGCAGCGAGTGTTGGATGGCCACCATACTGCACAGCACTCACTACGATAGATCCCTTTACGCCAAAAAAAATCCGTGATTTTTAGACAACATTCTGTACTGCCGTAATGATTGTTAATTTCCATTCCAATAAATTACGGGAAATCCGTACTAATTGGCAGGTCTGGCCTTGTGCATGTATTGAAATGACCTCTGCAACCTTCATTTAATCCATTTCTGACCATACTTTTTTTTCTATTCTTCATTTAAATACTTCTGGATTATAAAATTTGATTTAAAAAAAATGGATTAGGTTGTTCATTTGGAAGCTTTTTTATTCAAACACTGTTTATAAATTGCTCGGTTATGATTGTGATTGCAGATGTATGCAGACCTGGGCCCATCCGTCCTTACCGAGAAGTCTGCTCTAGACATCCAACGTCTGTTGGGCAGCGGGACGTTTGGTCTTGTCTTCCAGGGGGTGATGGCTCGCGCCTCCGAGCACCGACGGCCTATCGCGGCCAAGATGCTCCAGCCCTACCCTCCGGGGCAAGGTGCAGGAAACACTGACCGACGGCGCTACGACAATGACAACACAAAGTGGCACCGGGATCCGCTGCGGTTCTCCTGCGAGGCGTATCGCACGGCTCGCAAGGAGCTCTCCATCATCAACAACCTTGATCATCCTCATATTGTTCCTCTGCTGGGCTTCTGCAGGCATCCCATGTGTCTGATCCTTGAGCTGGCACCACAGGGAGCGCTGGACACCAGAATGGAGAATTTTAAGCGCGTCGGAGCCAGGTTGACACCTCACACCTTGCAGGAATTGGTGGTTCAGGTATGGTGAAGCTCTGTCAAAACTTTTCTTTCTTATCCCTATGCTACCATGGTGCTAGAGGCATAAAATGTTTACATGTTGTTTGTCTGTCCCAATTGTTCCAATCTGTCAACTTGAGGATCATTGAACAGATTTTACCCAAATCATGTTTAAGCAGGGGTGAACAGATTAAACTTTTTGTACAAGAGCTAATAAATGTTAGAAACATTGATTGCCTAAGGTCTTAATGCAGCAAATAAGAGTGCATGTCGACAATGACCATATCTACTTTTATTGTCTTCCTTGAGGTGCATCTGTATGTTATACATCCTTCCATGGCAGATTTCTTTTTAACCAAACCATGTATATAAAGCATATAGGGATGAACAGATTAAACTTTTGGTACAAGATGTAATAAATGTTAGAAACATTGATTGCCAAAGGTCTTAATGCAGTTAAGAGTGCTGATTAGAGTAGGTCTACATATCAGTTGTGAAGTGTGAAGTCATCAAAAAATCTGTATTTTGAATTTCTAAATTTTGTCTTCATTTTCCGAAAGAGCATCAAAAATAATGTCCGAATGTCGAAAACCAATTGAATAGGTAAGTATTGGCTGAGATATGACCATCGGAATGAATAGATTTCCTACTGGAACTCAGTGTTATATTGCTCTGGTTCATAACATAACGAGCCAGAGCAATATAACTCTGAGTTCCTTAAGAAAATCTATTTATTCAGATGGTCATATCTCAGCCATTACTTAACATATTCAATTGGTTTTCGACATTTGGACATTATTTTTGATGCTCTTTCGGAAAATGAAGACAAAATTGAGAAATTCCAAAAATAGATTTTTATGATGTCACAGCTTCGGTACTCTATATGGTGTGATTCCTATGTGCTTACTTTCCCTGTCTTCCTTGAGCTGTACTGTATGTTATACTTCCTTTCATGGCAGGTCTCATCGGCTGTAGCCTACCTTCACAGCAAGGATATCATCTACCGAGACCTCAAGGCAGAGAACGTCCTGGTGTGGAAGTTCCCGCAGCCTTACAGTCCGAACCCAGCAGATCCGATCAAGGTCAAGCTTGCGGACTATGGCATCAGCGTGACCGCTCTTCCTTCGGGTACCAAGGGGTACGGTGGGACACCGGGATATATGGCTCCGGAGATCGTACAGTACGATGGCAAGGAAACCTATAATGAGAAGGTGAGATACCCTGAAATTCAGTTAGGATGATTTGCCTTAAATATTGCTTCCTTCAAAAAAGGTCATTTGCATATTATGAGGTCAACTGCTGAAAATTTACCGCAGTAAAACAATATTAAACCCCTTAACATCTAACTGAATGGCAAAGCGAAAGGGGGGGGGGGGGGTGTTGTAGCTGCATGCAAGAAAGGCCCCTACAATACGTCCTTATCTTTATGTTATAATATTCAGAAATATGTAAAGTTTTACTCTATATCACCGTTGCATGGTTCGTCTTGCTGTGGCAATAGTTTTTTTTTGTCCTCAGTCTGGTCACCTCATCATGTGTGAATGAGGTGTGGCCAGTATCGTTCAAGACTTGTAATACTTTTTTCCAAAGAAATAAGAGATAGATTTTGAAATACAAGTAACGGACAGTGCCACTATCGCATTGATTGGAAATCGTGTAACATTTTCCCTTTTATAGTAATAGCTAAAAGGAAGTTTAAATGATTGCCGACTTGAATGGAGTAGTCCCAGTATTAAGCCTTTGGGAATGAGAAAATCCAGTTATCATTAGGTTGAAAGTGGATCAGGAAATGGGATCAATAAACTAAGATTTTGATATTCCAATCATACTGACTGACTATCAAAGAATGTACATTTACTTTGATAACTAGGAATTGAAAAGTGGTTTATTACACGTAATAAAGGAGAAAATCTCTACCTCTCTCAGGTTGACTGCTTTTCCTTTGGAATGTTCATGTTTGAGCTGATGTCCCTTCAGAGGCCCTTCGAGTGTCTGGTCGGAAAGGATGTAGGTCGTCTGTCGGAGGTCATCAAGCAGCTTATCAAGGATGGACAGAGACCTGTACTCTCAAGGAAGGTAGGATCATCGCAATTTTCTTGGTTTTCCTTTTTCTAATTTAAATCCTTCCTAATTAAGGTCATAGTCATATGGATACATGTAGTATAACCATGCATACTGTAATTGCTAAATTTTACAGGCACCCGGGTAAAATAAAGAGCTTGATAGGCAGTTAACCTAATGATTTTAAAACAGTTGCTGCTTTGGCATTTTCACTTACTTGAAGAAACATGATTTAAAAATATGATTTTGGGGGTATTCACTATTCAGTGATACTTTATGTACACTGTGCAGTTGTCTTTACAGAGAAGTACAAGTCTTCATATCTCACACTTGCCATTTTCCCTCCAAATCTAGCTGTTATCAGGAACAAGGCATGCAGTACAAAGCCTTATCAATGAGAATCTAGTGGTTTAATCACACCTCTGCGATATCTGATACTTTCGTTGTCATCATCCACACCAACGTCCTCATCATTATTACTACCGAACTCATTTCTCTTTCCAGGAGAAGTCCTACCCAACCTACATGCTGGACCTGCTGTCCTGGTGCTGGGCTCAAGACTCCAGGGACCGACCCTCGATGGAACAGATCAAGGACGTCTCAAAGACGGCCGAGTTTGCCAACCTCCTGGAAGTGCTCTCGCTGGAGGAGAAGCCTGTCGTCTCCTGCGCCGTTGCCACGACGGCAGGATGCAGCCCGGAAGGAGGTTGGTATACAAATAATACACAGCAGTGAGGGCATTAGTAAGAATTACTCACACAAGTTACCTTTGGAACAGTCCAAACACACCCGAAGCGATAGCCAAGGGTGTTTGGACTACTTTGAAGGTGCCGAGTGTGGGAAATTCTACTAATGCTCGAACAAAATGATGTGTGTTATTTGTTTACAAGATGATGTTTTATGTGTTTTATAAAATGGCGTTTTATAACATAATTTCACTAATGACCGGTCATTAGTAAAATTACCTGTTAGGCAACATAAATGCCTAGTCATTTGTATGCTCTCAACGGTCTTTTGATTAGGATCCGCTTCATCATCTTATAATTGGTTTTATGATGCATGCTCTTCCGACACTAAGCAGGATTTGGGCAGACTCCAACGTCTCCAGAATAAGTGTGATCGACTTATCTGTTGTTAAAGATCCGGTGACATCCAAATATAAGTTAATTGCTGTTGATGTGCAGGGCTGCATACAACTAATATTTTATTATTAAAATATCTTAATATATTTCATAGATTTTTAAATATTTTTAACATAATTTTCTCAGACCTGCTAAGCTCCATTTCTAAAAAAATGCTCCAGATCTCATTCATCTTGTGACATCATCTGTCAATCATTAGTGAGCTAACAAAAGACAGTGGTATGTCACTTTAACTTCCCCTACACTATCTCCACTTTACCTTTCTTTTCCTGGTGATGATTCAGCACGTCTGACATACATGTAGCAACTCCTACAGTATGTTGGTATTGTATGGTCTATTGTAAACAGGTGGTCAGCTCTGGTAAAGCTACACTGTACATACCACTGTTTCAATAAAAGATTTAGAAAATGAAAATGTATCAAAAATGTGGATAAGTAGATATCAAAATAATTTAAGCAGTGTCATTATATAAACTTCAATCAATTTTCCTCAAACTTCTTAAGATGGCCCAGATGCATCGTCCAGTCTGCCGGTCATCTGGATGACCCAGACCGTGGAGGAGGACCAATCCTCATCAGTGGTCATCCTCAACATTGACCGCACCCCTAGCGACGACACGACCTGCTTCAATCTGACCGTTACCGGGGGCACCGTCCGCTGTGTGTGCTCCGTGGCTGACACCATGTGGCTTGGTTTGAATACAGGCTCCATAGTGGTCTATGAGTAAGTGTTAACAGATCAGGGGGGCGTTTCACAAAACTTGTCATCAGTGACAAATGACAATCTGTGTTACAACTACTGAAGTGCTTGCTTTTGATTGGTTATCAGCAGATTTGACACTGATTTCGTTATTTGTCATTGAAAAAAGGCTTTGTGAAACAGGTCCAAGGGGAGTGTTTCACAAAGACTAAGATCGACTTTAAGTTGGACTTAACTATGGCAGGCCATTCATGCCACTGGTTGCTCCCACCATTGGTCTCTCAATAATGATCTTTAGATAATATTTTTTCCTTCAAATATAAACTATCAACAAATGTAGATTCTTGATTATGATTTGTACGTCCCTTGAGAGACCAATGCCAGTAAATGGTGAGAGAAAACAATGGCATGAACGGCCTGCCATAGTTAAGTCCAACTTAAATTCGATCTTAGTCTTTGTGAAACAATCCCCAGATGTACATGAATTTCTGACACTCGTATGTCTGCAAGTTTAGATAAAAATCCATACAGTTCTGAATAGTTCCCTACCATATGAAGATATACACATGCATGCTAACATGTATCTTATCAAACATGTTTTCAACACTTGAACAAAGATATTATTGGGTCATGTAATATACTATTATTGTATGGTATAGGATGGTTGCAGGAAAAAAAAGGATTTCACCCACATTGTTATCTAAACATGATAACATTAAACCCTTTTACTAAAGACAAAGCCAGTTACATGTAGGGTAGGTAAAATGTCATGAAGGATATGTATTTGACGCTCTGTAAAATACTTGATCAATCAGGAACAACTTCAGATAATGTAAAAATCTTTTTTATCTAGCTTTACATTTTTTCTGAAGTGAAGGGAGATGTGACATTTTCTTTTCTGTGGCTTGTTCAGATATGGCGCTGTAAACGCTGCAAAAAACCACTGCAGATTTTATACAAGAAAATGAATGGCAGCTGTGCGCAACAAAGGACTTGCATGTATTCATAAAGCTCTGTATTATAACATACAGAAGCTTATAACACTTTACATCATCATTTTAAAAATAATGGTGTGGTTTTGCCGCATCATGTCTGAACAAGCATTAACAGCATCGAAAACATCTTGATGATATTCATCCTTCTATCCGTCTCTCCCATGTTTTTTTCAGGAATGGAAGGTTCTCCTACCCCAACGAAATAGCGCGCCTCTCCCTGCCCCAGTACAAGAGCAAACCTCGCTCCCCCTGCACCATGCTCCACATACCCCCTCTACAGCTGGTTGCCATAGCAGCAGATCACGAAGTGGCCTTCAGGCAAGAGGATGGTAACGGGATGCCCTCGGCAGACTCGGACGGCTTCCACTATGTCCATGTTCAGAGGGAGATCATCTCCATGGCTATCGTCCTAAAGAAGAATGGAAGCAAAAGGTACCGATGATTATAACAATTAATTAATTAATAATTATAGGCATTTCTATAGTGCCATCTATCTAGCTGCCGTTACAGCCCTCTAGCATTTCAAGGAATTAATTCTTGCCAGGTACCCATTTACCTCACCTAGGTCGATTGTGACAAATGGAGATTGATGCCTTGCCAAAGGATATTAGTGCTATACCGGGGATCGAACCACGTCCTTTGAATTGCAAGTCAAGTGCTTAAACCACTCGACAACGACACTTCTACAAAATGATGGTGACTAGTTCTCTTGTGTACAGCAAAAATGACTCTGTTTCGTAGGAACTAAGTATAAACTGAAAGAAGGAATTGCTATGTTAATCAATACAATTGTATCTTAGATTCTTCCTCTGATGTTGCTTGGCTAATTTTTCGAGATCCTGACATTCCTTAGCATGACACCCCTCGATCCCTTTGATTTACTTGACTTGAAATTCAGAGGTCGTGGTTCGATCCCTGACACGGCACTAATGTCCTTTGGCAAGGCATTAATCTACATTTGCCACTCAATACCCAAGAGAGAAATGAGGACCGGGAAGGATGCAAAAGGATTTGTAATAGTAATTGTCTATGCCCTTACGGTGACAATACGGTAGGAATATGAATATGAATTCAATGACCGGGGTAATAATATTTGTATAGCGCTTAGAGACAATATACCGTATTAAGCACTTTATAAATCCAAGTTATTATTTTGTTTATTATTTTTTTATTTATACAACAACATTTTTTTTCTTCCCCTGATCATACATCACTTTGTCAAAACTATTGGAGCCACAATGCCAGAAATAAATTTGGGTGATATGTCTGCCAGGGTGTGACTGAACCTGTTGACAAAAATATTATCCATTAATTTTCTCAGATCCTACGAGTTATGGTGCGGTCAGACCGAGGGATACATAACCGTCCTGGACGCCGGCAACTTGACCCTGTGCCAGGTCATCCTCTGCCATCTTGACGATCCCCTCCCCTTGGCACCTGTCACTCAGATGGTGACCTATGACCTTGCGATCCAGGAGCAGATGGGCCTTCAGCATGTCTGGTCTTATGTCCAGCCAGGTGGGTTTGACCTCCCAGATAAGTTTGATGCCCAAAGACCACTGTTGAGCCTTCATGATAAAAATGTTAAAAGGGCAATACTGATTAGTTCTTTTTCTTTAACCTTAAAGGCCGTCTGTACTAGTTTGGCCAGACGGGATTAGACCACACAGCATGGTCACTAACAGGTGGCTATCTCATCAACTCAGCTCTCAATTGTCATTTATAAGAAAAAGAGGATCATGGGAGACCAATGGTCACCGCTTAGACATTGTTTTCTATATAGAGGGAGCAAGTAGCTACAAGTAGTACAGTGGGGCTTTAAAAAGGCTGGGTTATTTTGGTTATCTCACATAGGCCTATGGGGATCCTCCCCTCCTTAAACCAATTAAAATTTGAGCAGTTAACACCCAATTTTAATTGAGTTTAAACTTGTAAAGCCATTTAACGCAACAACTCTTCCTCCGTACATCTTCTCACTCTCTCAGCAGTAAAGAAGATCATATTCACTTTTATTTACATCAGCTCCTTCCCTTATCATTCCCAAATCCCCAAAACAGGCAGGCTTCAAATCCTTTCACTCCGTTGCCCTGTGCCTATGGAAAAAACTTCCTGCATCTCATTTCTAAGAAATTGATTTTCACTGGACTTCTTCAAAAAATATCTGATGACCAATCTCTGTAATTCTTCGTTATTTGTTGGTTGACAAAAGGACAGTGTTGTGCATCCTCTTGAAAATATGCTTTATACATGTAAATCCAAATATCTTTTTAATTGTTATTATCATCATCATAATCATCATCATCATCATCATCATCATCATCATCATCGTCATCATTATCATCATGATTATTATTATCATTATCTTTACTCAGGGCCTGTGGTGTACAAGTGGAACACCGAAACAAGGGCAATAGAGGGCAGGATTGACTTTGTAGCGACTATCTCGACTTGTCGATCTAACCCCCGACCAAGAGGCAGACAGAGCCATCGACCAATGAGCGGTAAGTGACTTAAAAGGCAAAAAGTTCAACTAGTTAAAATTAGTTTTTGAAGCTTCTACCAACCTTGAGTTTTGTTGCGCAGGTTTTCGTCCAATCCTGTGGACTTTCTCAAGCTAAGTGATCAGTCGCATGTTTTCTTAGATGCACTGCCTGGTGTCCTGCGATCACTGGACCAAAGATAGGTGACAATAGGTTCACTATTCCAACTAGTTGCAATGATATTTTGTTAAGCTCATCGCATACTATACGATCTTCCTGTAATCCAATTTTTGAAAAATTACAATTTTTTAAATATGGAAATTGAAACATACATCGACTTCCTGATTTAGGTTCTAACAATTATAAGAATTCTTACAACTCAAATTTTAGTGCATGGAAGCCTTCTAGTCAGATTAAAAACCGATTCAGCTTCAAATCATGACTCTGAGCCGATTTACCATTTCCTCCAAGGAAGCTTGAAATCCATTGAAATTTAGAATTTATTAATCATATGACTATTCAGATCATCAATCATTAATATGTTAAATGTTTGTGTGTACACATCAAATGCTATTGCAATTTCTTTCAAAATCGGATCACAGCCGGATCGTATAGTTGGCAGTTGGCTTTACAGTATGCTTGTGTATTTTCGATTTTAATGAGATGACAGTAATGTTTACCAGCCATCTGTGGCTCCAGATTTACAAATATGTGTGAGCAATGAGATTTCATCAAAGCAATTTAATAACGAGTTCCTTTTTTATGGTTCTACAACACATATTCTCTATTGGTGATAATTGCTCTGTGGTTAAATTCCTACTCTAGCCAGTTTCTTGACATCAACCTTTGACCAAACACTATACACTCATCCTAACTCTCACTTAAAAATCTGTTGCAACCTTAAACCTAACCGTGTATCATTGATAAAATATTTCCAAAATATGATGTATGGTCACATTTTCCTTGTTATCTTGATACATATACCAACAGTGTTTGATAGGATCACCTTTCATAACCCACGTTGTTTTTTCTTCTGCTATAGCCTTCCGCTCTCAAGTGAACTCCATGTGCCTGAGCGGTGAGTACCTCTACATCGGGATATCCTGTGGGCATCTCCTTGTCCTTGATGCCTCCACCCTTGCGCCGGCCATTCTGCTCTCCTGTCACGAGGGTCCCGTCAAGTTTGTCATCCCCGTTGCGCCCTCCCATCATCACCACTTGGTCCCTGACCTTCCGGATTCATCCATCATCCCTGACCATCAGTCAGAGGTGGCCGTAGCCCACCGGTTCCGCTTCAGCCGCCCAACCGTGGTCACCCTCGGAAAGGGGTTCAACGATCTGGTCGGTGGCTACGGGAACTCGCCATCCCGCTTCACGGGTCAAGAGAGGCTGGGTTGGTATATTCTCCTCTGGAACATGGAGTACTTCAATGAGGATCGCCTTGAGTTGGGAAATGATTTCCTGGATGGGATTGTTAGAAAGAAGTCAAGGAGCACAGAGGTATGACAACCTGGTCTAGGTCTAAGGGGTCTCGCCAGCCTGCTTTAGAGAGTAGGGGCACTTTCAACAGTCATTCCTTCTTTTGAACGCGAAGCTCTTCTGTGAGGATCGAGGAGAACAGAGGAGTAACGACTTAGTCTGGGACTACAGGTTCTCTCCAGCCCACTGCTGAGGACCAGAAGCAATCTTGCTGGTCCAATCCTCCTCTGGAATATTGCCTTTGATGAGGATCTCCTATTTCACGGGACAGGATTTCTTGGACAGGATCACGAGGAAGAAATCAAGAAGTACAATGGATTGATGATCTTAGTCTAGGGCTTCAGAATCTCCACCAGTACATTCTTCTTTGCAAGGTGATGTTTCCTGAAGAAGGTCACCTTGTGCTGGGTCATAATTTTCTACATCGGTTCATCGGCAAGAAGTGAACAAAAGTGTAGAGGTCCGATGACTTAGTTTAGGGCTACAAGATTTTGCCATCCAACTTCTTATGATACTTGTTTATGTAGGAGCAGCTCCAGTGGAATATTCTCCTCCAGAACAGAGTACTCCGATGATCGCCTGGGAGGGGGACATGATTTCTTGGAGAAGAATGTCAGGAAGAGAAGTCCACCAGGAACTGAGGTTTGTTGGTCTGGTCAGAAGCTGCAGGATATTGCCATGATCCTGCTTCACTGATTCTCCCCTGGGACATGGAGATCTTCAACATGGATATCCTGGAGGTGGGATATGATTTCTGTAACACGATTGTCTGGAGATATCAAGAAGTAGAGAGGAGTGTCTTTACCTTGTCGAGGTTACATGATCTTTCCATCCTGCTTCACAGGATAGGAGAGCTAGGGTCGTATGTTCTTTTCAAGAACTTGGAGAATTCTGATCACCTTGGATCACCTTGAGTTTGGGCATTAATTCCTTTAGCTTTCATGATGGAGTACACAGGTGCAATTTTATTCTTACAAGTTAAGCCACTGGAAACTGTTACTAAGTGCATTTCTAAAGGATTTTATCCAAATATATGTTGGGCAAAGTTTTCAAGATCAAGAACACGTATAGTCATAACTGAGAAGGTGATTTTGATTACTGAGGGAGAAAAAATTGTAGGAACATTTATTTCTGCAAAAGCAGATTTATGGCTTCCACTACCTGCACCATTGTACACTGTTTCCCGTATATCTCTTCTAGAGCAATCCTTGCTTTCCTTTTAATCCTTTCCTTTAACTTATTTGGAGACAGAGATGAGTGAGAGCTTCAGAGACAAGGAGGGACAAGAAGGGACAAAAAAAAGATAAATTGATAGACAGTGACAGAGATAGGCAGAAATATAAGTAGACAGGCTGGGTTGGCATGAACCGAGAAGAGACCTTGACAGAGAGAGAGAGAGAGAAAAGAGAGAGAGAGAGAGAGGGGGAGACAGGGGAAGGGAAGAGTCTGAGAGAGATACAAACAGACATTCTGGCAGACATGCAGGGAGGGAAATAAACCAAAATACAGAGAAACAGAGAGGAATGCCTGACATGACATAAAACAGAGAGAGAGAGTCAGACTTAAAGACCAAAATAAGGGGAGGGGAAGAAAGAAAGAAAGAGAGTCAGATTGACAAAGACAGAAAGGAAAGAGAAAGACGGGAAGAGGCAGCTGCCTGTGTCCAACACCTCACCTAACTCTGAGCCACTTAAGGTCGTTATCAAGTAGAACCTGCAAGGAGATACTATTGATATGTTCTCAAGATTAAAAGCCTTGATATGCAGCGAGAACTCCTAATTGGCCCAGTTTCGATTCCACCGGGAAACAAAGAACTGATGTTACATTTGATTGTCAGCCATGTTGTATTTGTTCGGAAATGTGAGAGAATGCCGAGTTCTAGAAAGGGGTTAAAATGTGTGTCATGAGAAATTAGTTACTTTTTGTTTTAAGTGTTGATTTATTTGTTTAAACAATATTCAAAGCCATGGAATTAGTTGTGCTGTTGTGAATTATTGACCACATAGATAATATGTACCCTCATATTGCAGAATGTTTAATCACAGCCATAGGAGTATTAAGCTGGTATGAGATTATCTATGCACACAGCACTATTTTTAACTCTTTGCCTGTTGGAACTTGTTGGTTCCTGTGCTAAACCTATAGGAATGAAATAATTCAGTAGTCAATGGGCTCACAAAGGTAATTCACCTTTTAGGTCAAGTACAATTGACTATTAGTTCTTGGTTCAATTTTCTTTTCCACTGAAAAATCAGGAAGAATTATTCCATGTTACTTGATATTTGATATTCAATATTTTCCAATACACACAGATACCTGTATTATATATGGGGTCAATTCCATTTTTATTAATGCAATTCATTCTTTCATATATACCACTGAAGCTCAAAACAAGTTGAAATTGTACAATGTTAAAGGGAAAGTCCACCCCAAAAATAAGTTTGTTTCGATAGAGGCAGAATAATAAGAAAATCAGGTGAGTGAAAGTTTGAGCAAATTCTGAATGAAAATAAGAAAGTTATGAATTATTGAAGTTGTAATCAATCAAATACAAATTGGCAACTCTGTGACTTATCATACGAGCTCTCCTTCATTTGCTTTGTGCATAATATTCCATAAAATCATGTTTTCTTCGTTATTGATGACGGAATATAAATTTGTTCCTTGCAGGGGGAGTATAGAAACATATTTGCAATTATTATATTTAGGGTGCATGTATGGTTGAAATTTTTCTTGAGGGAAAATGAAAATTTTAGATTTTTTTAGTACTGAGCAAATGGAAGTTGAGCTCGCATGATACGTCATAGAGTTGCCAATTTGTGTTTGATTGATCACAACTTCAAAAATCCTAACTTCCTTATTTTTAATCGGAATTTGCTCAAACTTTCACTGACTTGTTTCTCTCATTTTTCTACTCCTATTAAAACTAACTTAATTTCAGGGTGGACTTTCCCTTTAATGAATTTTGTTACTAAAATATGCATACCTCCTCTGAATTTTGAATATTGTTTTGTCCAAATGAAAACCAAGAAAAGAGGAGCATGAGAGAATGAAAAGGAGGCAAGCACACAAATCAATCAAAGTGGGCTTAGAAACTGGGTATCGACTTTATTTGTCCTATTTGTCTGAAGGGATAGTTGTTTTTTATTGAAAATTACTGTTATGCTCAATCTATATTGGAATACATGTAACGTAGCTCATGAAGTAAAAGGCACAACATTTGTTTAATCAGCAGCAAGCTTTTCATATATGGAGTCATGATATGTACATTATATAGCTCAAATATACATGTACATTTCAATTTAGTTGGTGAATATAAAGTCATGGGTTGTTCTATGTATTTTAGCATATTGACATATGAGCTCAAAATTTGGATGGTTTTTAGTCTTTTTCATGCTCAAGTATACATTAATATTACCAAAGACTCAAATTCAAGTTTTTCAAACATTCAACATAGTTCACTGTCTATACCATATATCATCTTAAACATGATCTATTAAATCATTTAGTTATATATGATAGGGGACATGTGTGCACATGCTCAACACAAATAAAGCTTTCAATTTTTACTTTGGATTGAACAAAAAAATATGCCTTGAACAGCACAAACTATCACACATATTTGTCATTTAAAATACTATCAAACGTAAGTCTCAAAAGATTTCTGAAACTTTGCATGTAAACTTCTTCAAATTACTGTTGGAAATCAACTGTCCGGATAACCAGCCTGTCCGGACGCACAACGTGTGGATATACAATTACTCCTATTTCGTTTTTACTTTGAGATATTATCCAAATTAAGAGCTTTCAAAAGGGTTGTCCTTATGATCTTGGTATCAGTGATGACAACCAAAACGAGCAGTTTAGAGATGAACTGATAAACAGATTTGGAGAAAAAAAACTCTGTAGACCTTTTAAAGCAAGAGCTTTCAAAGGGGATGGCCATGTGAACTCTTATATCAGTGTTGACACCCAAAACGAGTAGTTTAGAGATGAACTGATAAACAGATTTGGAAGAAAAATCTGTAGGTGTAATCTCAACAAAAAATATCCATGGTGTAGAATTTCACTCTTCAAAAAAGAAATTGGTTAGACTATTTATAATTGATTGCAATTATATCATGATTAATGACGGCTGAAATGTCAAGTTATCAAATTCACGGTCTAATATTCATGGTAGGATATGTATCAATATCCACTCTCTCTCTCTCTCTCTCTCTCTCTCTCTCTCTCTCTTTCTGTCTCTCAGTGAACCCCTCCCTTCCTTCCTCCTCCCTTTCTCCCTATCTCTCACCTTTTCTCTCTTCCTACTTATCCATCTCTCTCTCTCTCTCTCTTTCTTCCTTCTCTTTCCTCTTCCTCCATCTCTCACATTTCCTCCCTTCCTGCTTCTCTCTCTCTTTCTCTCTCTCTCTCTCTTGTTGGGTAGGAAAGATTGAGAGATTAAAAATATTTTTGGCAGAGTGCAATATCACCAAAAATACATGTGTGTACAAATATTCTTGCCGAAAGATGCCTTCACCAGATGTAAATAATTAGTATCATATTCTGGTTATTTTACTAATGATGATGTGCAATAAACATTAAACAAGTATTACATGAAAATATATGTGTAGATGTTTCGCAAGGTAAATATTATATTGCATTGAGAAATATGTACATACATTGTACATGTATACGTCAGTTTTATCTGAAATTGGTGGAAATAATGTTTTATAACTGTTATATTTACTGTGCTTACCTGTACATATTGTACATTTACTTGAATTAGGATGTGTGTGCATTCATGTTTAATACTAATAGCTTTTAACAAAGTCAAAGGTTTCATGATTTTGGGTTATCAGGCATATATGTCTACAAAATGGTATGAAGTGAAAAATGCTTATTTTTGCTTTTCATGAAATGACAGAATGTGTTTAATTTCTTACTCTATTCCAGGGCCATGTCGCACAAAACTTACCATTGATGGTAACTTTGCCATCAATGGTAATTACCATGGAAACCTTGATTTTGATTGGCTGTTGAGCCCTGTTACCATGGTAGTTGCCATTGATAGCAAAGTTACCATCAATGGTAAGTTTCAAGCAACAGGTTCCTGGAGTATATTGGTACAGTATTGTCTTAACAAGTTAAGCTCTTACTATCAATACAAATTGTCATTTCTTCTTAAAGCCATACTGTCCTAGAAGCACTACCTCTAGCGCCATCTCGGGTCTGCTGCAGCAGTATGGCCCGCAACTCGCTTCACTGTTGGTTCCGCTCAACTTTACACTCTGAAGTGTAGAGTTCTGTTGGCAAGTTGACCAGTGCACCAACGCACTTTTGGCAAATTGACCATGAGATGGCGCTGTGC